CTTCCTGGAATGCACCCCCTCCTTCCTGATAGCCTTGCTCTCTGTTGCTATCCACCACAGTCTCTTTCCCATCTCCCAAGGTCATTCCCACATACCATTACAACTGGGCATTATAGAAATTAAAATGTAAAAAGTGTTTAATTTTCTGACAACTTGTGTGTTTCTATTTTTATTAGGAAAAAGAGAGAGAACTAGATGCAAAAAATATATATGCTAATCGTATGTTAAAACATTCACCCAAAAAACATGTTGATATTACACCAAGAAAAAAAGGTAAACACTATATTAACTGTTATATACAAAATAATGGCATGTTTACTTTAAAGAATGTATCACTCAGTAATGATCAATAATTCTGTATTCCTAGGAAATCCATTTGAATCCATTGCCTATTTCTTTCAATGTTTAATAATTTGAAAAGTAAATGATCTTTATTCTAATTTTTGCATTTGAAAACTGAAGCAAACCAACTCTTACTTGATTAAAGAATAATAAATAATTATATAATGGCATTGTTATGTGTGAAGCAGTTGGCTTAATAAGAGGTTTTTAAATATTTATTGCTGTCAATGGAGATCAAAGCAAACATTCCAAACATCTTATAGCTCCATATTTCATTACTGATGTTCTAATGGACTTGCATTTGGTATGCATTTAAATCATTCACAGTAATAATAAAACAAGTAGGTTTTAACTTTTTGAAACTGTTTATTTAAATAAAACTATTTAAAATGTGGTACAAATTATATATTTATTACAGTTATTGATAAAAATACTACAAGAGAAGTACAGAACACAAAAGGGGTACAGACTACTGGATACTTTTCCCCAATAGAATTTCCATTGCCACCAGACTTCATTTCTGATGAAATACCAGAGAAAAAGGAAGAGGATGGGCATCTCCAACTGGTGAGTTTAAACTATGTTTTCCCTTTCTCTGTCTTCTGTGTAATCAGCTTCTTACTGTGTCATTGAAAAATTTTGTGTTTAAAGTGAAGGTAATTGTAAATTGAAAGTCCAAGCTAGTATGAACTTTTCAGTGAAATGACTCCTAAAGAGGAGGAAGCAGAAACAAAGGAATGCTTACTATAATAAAAACTATTAAACCATCTCATTTTGGAATGCATTTTTTAAAACTTACTTAAAACTGACTAAAATTAAGACAGGGATATTGGTTTGTTGCACATGGATTTTACTAACAGAAGGGGGAATTGCTAAATGGTTGGATGAGACTTCAGGCTGTGCCTCTTTTTGATAAAATACAGGAATGCCCAAGTTTCTTCAGTTATCTAAGATCTGAAAATTCTGTGAGTTGAATCCAGCTAAAAGTCATGTAGAGGAAGCAGGCAGCATCCTTTCATGCTTCTCTGAGTGGGAGTCCTTCTCATGCCCCTGAAAAGCCTTTCTGAAGAACTGGAAGTCCTTAGTGAATGGAATAGACTGTGGCCAAGGTGGCTGAGGTAAAAGGGATCCTGAATATCAGGTGGTAGCATCTTCCATAAGTAGGCAAGGAGCCTGCACTAGATAATCTTTTTCTCCCAGGTACCATATTGTCTTTAAATATACCAAGCTTGTATTTGAAATAGAATCTCTGAACTCCGATTTTTAAAATGATCTTGGGTGAAACAAACTGATCTAATTGTAAGATTAAGTTCAGTAGTAAAATGGATTTACCCAGAGGAAACAGATATAATGAAAAAATGGCCCCAATGATTTCATTTTTCTACTAAGAGTATTTTGATCATAATTTGCTGATATTTTTAGTTAATGGAAACTTATTGCAGATTAACTGAAATGACAGTATACAGTCTAATTTCATCCAAATGGTTTTTGAAGAGCCTTCCATTCTACATTTATATCCTTAGGAACAGATAGTTAAAGACTGGAAAGAACAAGCAGAACATTTGAAGCAGGAGCAGAACAGAGAAAGGGAAGAGAGACTAAAAAATGAACAAGAACTCCAGGCATTGGAAGAAAGAGCCAAGAAACTAAGAGATGGTAAAACAGAAATGTTTATATCTGTAGGATTTATATATGGAAATTTCATATGTAATATTATATATAAATTTCCCCCAATTATTATCAGCTGTATTGCTTATATAATGGTTATTCTTCTCAGATGATAAGGAAATCACTTTTATTTTTAGGATGCAATATTTTGAACACGTATTTTGAGCATGTGTGCGTGTGACTGTTGTGGGGCAGCTAAATGGAATCCTTAACACAGATCAGTGGTTCTTAAACTTGAGGTAATCACCCCCAATGGAGTGATTTGGACATATCCTGGGGATATTGGAGCAACTTGTAATTGCTTGTTTGTGAGTTGAGGATCCAAGTTGGGACTGCCGCTGCCAAGATGCTTGTGTAAAACAACAGAGTCTGGTTTTTGTTTTGTTTTGTGGGGTAATAACATTATTCGAGATTGGCAAGAGAGGTAATTGGGTCAAACAGTTTAAGAACCACTGATGCAGATCCTTAAGCACTGCATTGAGGGCCTCTGAGCAAAAGATAAGGGCTCCCTTGAGTCAAGTACAATTCCTGGTAACTACCTGGACACATCCATCTCATTTTCTTGGCAGCAGTATGGAGGTGGCTTGCCATTGCCTTCTTCTGGTTGTTTTTTGCTTATCAAGCCTACAGCTTTGGGATTTCCTTGTGGCTATCTAACTAAGTACTAATCAGGAGTGACTTCCTTAGCTGTTTTTGAAATGGGTAGTTGTTAGATGCTGCTACCTTCTCTGAGTACTGGGCTCAATTCAAGGTAATTATGGTAGTCTACATAGACCTAAATTGCTCAGGACCAAAGTACCTAGAAAACACCTGTCCTCCCCAGTACTACCCAACCCATATGTCAAGAACAACTAGAGAACTGCTGCTTATGGTTCTACCTGTGGATTTTGCAGTGTAGTGAGTAGGACTAAGATGGTTATGTCATGCAGTTATGGTACTCTCTCCTGGAATAAATATGGCCAATCCCCATGTTACCTAGTCTGAAATTAAAACTTGAGTCTTTGTTCACTGAACATTTTCAAGGTAGCGATTCAGAAGCAGACTACTTTTTAAGTGCATACTGTTTTAACTGCATAGCTACATGCTGCATTTTTATTACTTTTGTTTCTTTAATAATTTGTTTTACTGAGTTTACTGAGATGGTCTCATTATTTTTGTTTCTGTGCATGCCTCTGGATTCTCTTAAGGAAAGAGATAATAAATAACAATAACTTATTAAATTTATATGCCCTCGACTCCCAGCAACTTTGGGTGGTTTACCAATTATTAAAAACATTTAAAAACAAGGAGCAGTACAAAAACACAAAAACAAAAGAACAAAGATGGCGGAGAAAATAAACCTAGATGGGAACAAGGAAAAGGAAGAAAGGGACATCAGTTGTCCTCACCAAAGGCCTCGGCAAAGCGTCACATCTTCAGGGCCCTCCAAAATACCAGTAGGAGGGGAGCCATTCAAATCTTGGGGGAGGACCTCATTCCAGAGGGCAGGCACTACTAGAGAGAAGGCATGCTTCTGGGGTCCTGTTAGGTGGCATTGTTTAATCAATGGGACTCAGAGCATGCCAACCCTGCCAGATCAAACCAGCTGGGCAGATACTATGGGAGACAGATGCTCCCTCAAGTAACCAGGCCCTATGCAAGGTAGGGCTTTAAAGGTAGTCACCAGCACCTTGAGTCCCACCCAGAAGCAAACTGGCAACCAGTACAGCTCACAAAGCAGAGG